CACGGAAAGTGCGTTTAATAAAGTGCCAAACGTTGAATTGGCTTCTGATGATTTTTTAAGAGCAATAGGGCAAAACATCTATTCAGAATTAGAAATTGGTTAGTATGAATAAATTTAATTAACAATTATCGTTCTTGATGTTTATTTGTTTACTACTGCAATTTTAATTATTAAAACGACTATTTTGTTGTAGATGGTAAGCTTCTTTCCTTATATTATTCGGCATCTAAGCTAGCCGTTGATTTTATAATCATTTTTAAATTATTTGTATATATACCATGCATATATATATATTTCATAATATTATAGAACAGCCTCGTGCAAGAAATTTAGAACGGAAACATCTAGTGAAAACAGAAATACCCTATACAGAGGAACTCGAAGATTCAATAAACAAATTAAATTTACAAAAATTTGAGTATGACGACTTTGAAAATATCGAATCAATTGAAAAGAGTAATTATGGAGAAGTTTACAGAGCTTTTTCAAAAAGTATTGCAATGATAATTGCGATTAAAGAAATCAACATTCGCGATGGTAATGTGGATTCACGATCAATATAAGCTTCGAAATTTTTGTACCGAAAGCTAAGGTACATGGCATTGATTGAATTCTTATCATCTAGCAAAGTGTTTACTTCCGAATTTGCATTGTTGCTAATAAACTTGATCCATTCAATTGGTATCTCTTGAGTTTCCGGTAACTCTATATTATTCTCTAAAAGATAAAGATCTCTTTTTTTATTGCAATATACTAGGGCTGCTGAAAATTCTCCGAGGCGATCAGACGACAAATTCCATTTAAGATTACCAAGAGTAGGCAGATCTTGATGCTTTTGGGGTGAATAAATCGTTATTCCATGATTCGGTAAAAGAGATTCTATTAATCCTGAAATAACAATTTGAAGATCATAAAACCGATTACATACTAGCTCACAAAAGATTTAACTTCTAATGTCTAAAATCGTGCTTACTCTCTTCATCATCGAACGTAATCTGCTGATCTATGAATTCAAGGAGTGAAAAGGTATTTATTTATTTATTTTAAAAAATTTAAACAAAAAAAAAATTGTGTTAGATAAGTAAAAACAGCATACTCATCTCTTCCTCGTTTTCGAATACATCTTCTAGACCCAATGTTTCACAAAAATCTGAAAATAAATCACACTCGCTCCCCTCATCATCTTTAGATAAAATTCGTCGACCTATGCATTTTCCATACCATTAATATATTGTCAAGCTAATCTAATAAAATTATTCGTCTCACCTGCATTGTACTCTATTAATCGAACACAAATAAAAATAGGAATCGCAGACAGGACAACAAATATTGTCGAAAGTTGCGCAATCGATAAGATATAAAAAATAACTAAGATACAATCTAGTAAATCCATGGCAGTCCAGGAAGTAAATAACGTTTCAAGAATTAAACGATCCCATATAGTTGAATCCCATTTATTCCTTTTAAGGGTTAACTCAGTGAAAGAGTATTGTGCCCATATTAGTTGAAGATCATCAAATTTTTCAGATTCCCGGTTACCTCGTCTAATAAACTGAAGGGATTTTGAAAATCGTTAAAATGACATAATTTTATTAATAAATATATATTGTATATAAATCAAAAATATTAAATCAATTAAAAAATATTAAATCAATTAAAAAGTAAAAATTTTGTTACTTCAACAAATAAATACATTATTTATAATATTATAAAATAATAAAAATTTTGAATTATATTATCCAATTTGATGCAAAAGTCTTTAAATGAATATTTTTTATTTATAATTTGATAAACAATAAACAAAATAAAATGAAACTTTATATTTATAATTTAAAAAATAAGATTACTTTAAAAAAATTTTTATAAATACTTTAAAAAATTATAAATATTTATTTGATTTTTTTTTTTTTTTTTTTTTTGAGTATCCATAGTCAGGCTAGATTGTTGATTTATTAATTAATTGAAAACATAAGTACATTTTTATTTAAGCAGCATAATATATACTATAGCTAAACTATTATACTAATCTAATTAACTTACATAGGCATAAGAGCCTCTAAGTTCAACCTTGGAGACAAATATTTCATTCTGCAGTATTTTTGGGTAAAACTCTTCTAGTCTATTGTATCATTGCTAGCAAGTTGTCACTACTGTATATTTTACCAAGATGCTGAAATACAGAAAACTACAAAAGGATGGGTTAAAAAAAGGGGAAGGGAGATATCTAAAAATGTCTATATAAACAATAAGAAAATAAAAAAATAAAAATTTGAAAAAAATATTTTCACCTTTCCCTAAAGATTTGCTTCTCAAACTTCTTCTCAATAAGAAATGCCCAATTGAATTATTCTGACTATTTGAGAAGCTTATCTATTTTTTATCTTGATTTTCTTTTTTTATATCATTTGAGGAGACTATCGCTTAATGGAACCTTTACTTCCAGAACACACTTGGTTCCAACCTTCTTTGGTCTGTAATTTTTTATCCACCTGTATTAAAGAAGTAACTTATAATAGATCCCAGGTTCTTATGAGACCAAGTAGAAAATGGATCATGTTGTTTCAGTATAATACCTTCCAATAGCCATATATAGTTAAAAAATTTTACTAATATATATTTTTCATTATCCAAAAGATCAAATCTTTTTGCTTTGTAATAGTAATAGAATCTTGAAAGAGATAGGGATCCTAGTCAATTGTAATATTCTTTAACAACTTCTGTAAAAATGTATTCTCAACTGTAATCAATGGGTTGAAGCTTAACATGGACTAAAAACTATTTGATCTTATTGCTTGACTGGAATAAAAAGGAGACCTTGGTATTGAACTTTGCTTGACTAAAATAATAGAAAAGAAAGATCTCAGCTGGAACAAATAATAGTTTTTCATTACCTGAAAACTTGTTGCTTATATCTTATTGGCTTCATGAAATTTAATTTATAGATTAACTCAATTGGTGGAGTAAATAAACATGAAACACCAATCAACTCTTTTATTTATCAATAACATTATTCGAAAATGTGAGATGACCAATAGGAACTTATTTACATTCAACTACTAATGTATTTCATGTCAACAAATCAGAGCCAGGTAACATTGTGCAACCAGAAATTTAGAATCAAACTGAAATAGGTCAAATTCCTTAAGAAAACTATAAAAAACAGTAAGTACTTTAAGAGAGTATAAAACAATATGTGAAAAGGTGAATAATAAACCTTCTCCTATCAATAGAATCACTATTTCTTGTTGCTTCCAGCTCTGTAAGATAACACTTCATTTATCAGTTCTTTTAATTCCTAGAATCTTTTGCCCTAGTAAAGAAAGTGTATACTTAAGTCTTTTCAGATTACTAAAGAGATAAGAGAAGATAAGCTTCAAGATGTTTTAATGAAAGTATAAAGACTTTACTAGTAAGGAATCATAAAACTTTTTGTGAACATCTTTTTTATATATGGTTAGAGAATCAAAGGTACTAATAATTATTATAAAGTTATATTATATATTTTTTATTTAATCATTAATATTCTCTTATGTACACAAGGATGCAAACTTCCAGAAGTTTCATTCTAAGACATCCAGTCACTGGAAGCAATAAACCATCATTAAACTTTCAAAAGAAGAGACAATAGAATAGATATAGAAAGAACCCCAATGGCAACATTAGTAGTGAATATAATAGTGTACAGTAAGAACCATTGCAACTGATTCTAGAAATCTAGAAAGACTCAATAACAAAATATATAAACTAAAAACAGAAAACTATCCATCTGTTAAGATAAGAGGAGAAAGGAGAGTAAACCACTCTTGAAAGGTACAATAGTTGAAACAACCTATACAGAACACAGTGAGTCCTTCTGTCCTTTCCATAACACAACTCAAAAAAAGGACCAGATGACAAGAATAGAGACAACAATAATAAAGCAACAGCAACAGGAAGAGTTAGATATATTTATAAAAAAATAAAAAAATATTCCAAAAAAAGAAAAAATAATATGTGAAAAGTAGAAACAAAGATTGATAATACAGATAGTATAGATACAATAGAAAGTAGAGTAATTCAAATAGGCTCACACAATATAAGAGGCATAATAGATACAACAAAACAACAAAGCCTATTAGAAGAAATAGAAAAACAAAGAATAGATATAGTAGAATTAAGTGAAACAAAACTCACTTCTACCAATAACAAATGAGCTTTCAAGAATCAATTCTTTTATAAATACTATTTCAGTATAAATGAGGAGACCCCATATGGAGCAGAAGTCAGCTTGCTAATAAAAAAAGATCTAGAAAAGAAAATTGCATCAATTGAAAAATGGGAAGGATATATAATAGCAGTCAACTTTTGAGCAAGACGAAACAAAACCTGTATAGTACAGGTCTATCTACCAAATGACAAGAAAAAAAGTTAAGAGTGTCAAAATAAAGTCAAGAAACTAATTCAAGAAAAACTAGAAAAAAGATTTTATTTAATCATAATGGTAGATTTCAATATGCATATAATACCATAGAAGATAGGACATCAATATTCAAGGCAACATTTAGACCATCATAAAAACCAGAAATTTCACTTTTTACTTTTCTTGAAGATAGAGACTTTATTGATATACAGGCAACCTGAGAAGAGAAAAACAAATTACCTACTAGACAAAATGCCACAAGCCAAAGTAGAATTGATTATTTATGGATGTCCCATAGTATGACACAATTTCCAATAATTCTTTTTGAAAACAAGAATATATCAGAAATAACAGGAAGTGATCATATGATATTAATAGTCACACTGCAAGATAAAAACCTCTTCTCGAGAAGTAAGATATCCTATCAATCCAACAAGACCATTAAAGTAATAGATATCAAAGGATCCATAGAAGAACAATGGAAAAAGTATCAAGAAAGTATAGATCACAAATTCAAGACAAAATTGATATTACTACTAAAAAATGAATCAAACAAAACATTAATAAAATCATGGGTAAATCAAATATGGGAATGCTTTGAAAACCAGATAACATCAGCAGCCTTCTTCAAATTGACAATCAAGAAAATAAGGCCAAATTAGGAAAAGAAATACTGATTGAGACCTGAATTCATTAAATATAGAAGAGTCATTAAACTCAATACACTATTTAAAAAAGCAAAGCTGATCAAAGCATGTGAAGACATACAGATCCTCAATTTAGCAATACAAAAATATAACAAAAAACATTATCCTGAACTTCAAATTGATACCATATGTTTACAATATAGTATAGAAAACATGCCCTGGTCAGAAATTCAAAAAGAAATTCAGGATACAATTAAATAAAGAAAGTAAGATAACAAAAGAAAAAATTAAAAAAGCATTAGAATAGAGATGTGACAATCTCAAAGACAATCAACAAAAAACCAATCTTAAATAGAGAAAGAATCAAAATAGTCTTAGATAGAGTGAAAACTATAAACAATGGACAAGAATACATTATAACAAACAAAATAGAAATAGAAAAAGAACTTTGAAAATATCATAAAGAAGCCTTTAGAAAAAGAAGTGCTAATTTTTACTATTTGACCGAGGATTGGAAAAAGGAATATGAACCTAGAATAGATATCAATCACATATGGTACGAAGAACTTCTAACTTCTATATTCTAAAAAGAACTTTAGCAAACTCTACAAACATTACTGAACAATAAAGCTCCTGGTAGATCACAAATATTTTATTAAATGCTCAAAAAACTAAGTATTCAAGGTAAAGAATATCTTCGAAAGATATTGAACAAGTTTCTAGAACTTGAAATTACTCTTGACAGATAAAAACAAAGCCATATTTATTCAATTGCCAAGTTAAAACATGGGATTGTGAATTGCAAAACACAAGGTCAATTGTTCTTCTGGAAGTTACTTGAAAATTTTTTACAAAAATTCTTACCAATAGATTAAGTAATATTTGTAAAACATATAATATCTTAAAGTGTCCAAACTTCGCAATCTATCTAAAGAATGTATAGCAGAACCTATTCAAGTATTGAATAATATTTGTAAGAAAGCTAGAGAAAATAAAAAAGAATTATGGATACTCTTCCAAGATACAGCCAAAGTATATGACACTATAAGTTTGGATATGTTACAAAAGGCAATGGAAAGAATCAAATTCCAGCAGGATTTATCAAAATTATTATGAGCCTTTTTGCAAATAGAAAGTTCAAAATACTATATGAAAATAACCTAACAGAATCAATAGTAGCAGGAAATAGTATAGATCAAGGAGAAACTATTTCATCACTACTATGGAGAATATTCTACAACCCTCTATTATGCAAAATTCAAAATGACAAAAACAAAGGATACACAATGTCAGTCAAGTGGAATCCCAATTTTAATGAAAAAAAGAACATAAACTAGAATCCAGACATGCTACAATAGCTTTCATGGACAATACTATATGGACAGCTAGATCAAAGGAGGATATGGAACAAATTTTAAAAATAGAAAAACTTTTTACAAAGCTAACAACTCTCAGATCAATAGTAGTAAATTAGTTCTCATTACTATTAATAACCCTA